CCTATATCCTCAGCCTGAATTACGCCTTTTCATCTAAATTTTTATAAACTAGAATTTATCTAAAAAATAACTTACTGTTTTTTTTTCTCAAAGTTGAGACAAGGTATGATGCATATTTTTAATCCTAGCACTAAAGAGGCAAAGCAGGCCAATCTCTGTGAGTCCCAGGCCAGCCTGGTCTACACAGTGAGTTCCTGACTAAAAAGAGATAGATGCCAGGCTGGAGAGATGGCTCAGTAGTTAGAAGCAACTGTTGTCCTTGCAGAGGACCCAGGTTTGGTTCCCAGTACCCACACTGCAGCTCATAACCATTTATAACTCCATTCCAGGAGACGTGACCCCTCTCTTCTGACCTCTACAGGTATCAGGCACAGACATAGTGTGCATGCATACATGCAGACAAAACAATCATATAAACAAAATAAATACATTTTCCACAGTGAGTTCTAGGACAGTCAGGGCTGTTATACACAGAAACCCTGTCTTGAAAAATCAATAAACAAATATACAAATAAATAAATAAGTCTCAAACTCTTAAAAGTAAATCTGTAAAGAAAAAAGTCTTAGTTTCTCCAAAAGATCAATCTCCACCAATCCAGGAGAACATTTTGTCACATATCTCATATGTTGAAATGTAGGACTAGAGAGATGGCTCAGCAGTTAAAAACACTGGCTGTTTTTGCAGAGGACCTGGGTTCAAATCCTAGTACTTGGTGGCTCATAATCATCTGTTAACTACAGTTCCAGGTCTCCAATGTCCTCTTCTGATCCCTGAGAGCACCAGGCCTGGATACACACACAAAAATGTATGACACTCATACACACAAAATAAACACAAAAAAATTATAGTATTTAAATGAATGAAATTAAGAGACCAAGGAAAGGAATATACATACAATATTTGAGACACTTGTAACTCCATTTCCATTAAAAGATAAACAAAATAGCTGGGTAGTAGTATTGCATGCCTTTAATCCCAGCACTCAGGAGGCAGAGACTGGCGGATCTGTGAGTTTGATGCCAGCCTGGTCTACAGAGCTAGTTCCCAGACAGCTAGGGCTGTTAATACAGAGAAACCCTGTCGTCTTGACCCGCCCCCAAACAAACAAGCAAACAAATAAAACAAAAGATAAACAAAATAAATCACAGAAAGGGGAGTGCATATGGCTTATTATCTACAATCATACCATCAGAGAAAATGAGGCTGGAGAACTGCCATAGTTTGAGGGCAGCCTGGGCTATGGTGTAAGTCTCTGCCTCAAAAAACTCTAACCCAACCAACAGTTTTGCTTTCTTTGAGTAGAGAGAAGCCTTTAGCATGCCAAGCACTGTGACCCATGCCTTTAATACCACCAGCACTAGGAAGGCAGAGGCAGGAGGATCTTTGGAAATTCCAGAGTAGCTAGGGCTATGTAGAGAGACCCTCCTGTTTCAAAACAAAAGCAAGCAAGCCAGCCAGCCAGCCAGCCCAGGGTTAATCCTTTCCTCCTTTCTTTAACATTCCCATATCATTTTTTCTGTCCTTCAGTTTTTTTCTTCACAAGTCCCCCTCAAGTCTTTCTTACATGTCTATACTATAGACCTCCAAAAAAGCAAGTCAATCCAATACGATATTCCTTATGTTTTCTATATTTTCTAACAGTGAACACTTATTCTCACTTACACTAAATGAATCTCTTAGTACTCAATGGACACTAATGAACTATGGGCTCCAAGTATAAGAAAACAAGTATGTTTGCTGCAAAACCTTTGTTAATATAAGTAAGGCTTCAAAGTCTAAACTGCAATGATCTAAAAAGATAATGGTGAACTATTTTAAGTAGTTTCTTTTTAATTTTAAAAAAAGATTTATTCTCATTTATTTTATATGTATGACTGTTTTAACTGCATGGATGTATGTGTATCATGTGTGTTCGTGGTATTCAAAGCCAGAGGAATGAGATGCCCTGAAACTGGAGATATGGATGGCTGTGAGTGCTGGGAACTGAATCTGGGTTTTCTAAGTACTTTTAACTACTGAGCCATCTCTTCAGCTTTCATTTTGTGTGTGTGTGTACATGTATCTTTAGGTGTGTGTGTTTGGGTGCTCAGTCATATCCTTGGAGGCCAGAAGAGGGCGTTGGATCCCTTGGAACTGGAGTTACAGATGGTTGCAAGCCACCCAATATAGTATGTGCTGGGATTTAAACTCCAGTTTGAATCACTGAGGGACAAGTACTCTTGATTACTGAGCTATCTCTCCAGCCCCTGAGGTAGTTTTTTTATGCTCGTTAACCTCAGAAAGCTGACTAGATTATGGGACTCACAGCTTAATGAGGTATTAACAAGGGAACAGAAAGACTTTCCATAGTATCCTGGGACCTCACCTAGTCCTGGGCCCTGACACCACTGCATTGTCTTTTAACACACTAAATGAAGGGAGTTTTAAAAGCACTCTAAGAGATGATATGGTCTAGAAATCTATATTTTGTTTTTAACCATAAAATAATATCTACAAAATAAAACACATGTAGAACACTGGGGGCAGGAGCACAAGCCTGTTACCCCAGCACTGGGGAAGCTGACAGGAGTACTGTCCTGAGTCTAAAGACAGCATAGGTTACATTGTGAGCTCCAAACCATCACTGCTACATGGAGATTCTGTCTCAATCCTAAAAAAAAAAAAAAAAAAAAAAAAAAAAGCCAAAACAAACAAAAAACCTACCAGTGTCTTTTCCCAGCTATCCCAACAGAACAGGTATATAACTATTAGCTAAATCCAAATACTTTTCTTATTACAGGTGAGACAAATAAGGCAGCCAAATGTTAAGTTCCTTGTCATAAATAACAAAAGTTTTAGAGATATCTAAGAGTAACTGTATATAGTTAAGCATCTAGCACTAGCAAATTAATCCAATTAAAAAAAAAAACTGTCAATTAGAGAGTTGTTGATAAACAAGTATTTTATTCCACATTATATTCAAAGACAACTTTTCCCCCAAACTAATGGCAAGTAAGTGACTTCAGAGTCTTTGTGGCACACTTAATCAGAGCCATATTTTTGGCTCGATCTACTGATAAGGTTTTTTTTTTTTTAACTCCAGATCTTTCCGCAAAATTAGTCTTGATTAGAATTCAACTGTCTGTGAGCTTGAAAGATGGCTCAGCAGTTAAGAGGACTGGTTGCTGTTGTAGAGGACCCAGGTTCAAGTCAGCACCCATATGGTAGCTCATAGCTGCCTATAACTCCAATTCCAGAGGATTCAGTATCCTCTTCAGGCCTCTGTGGGCATGAGGCATGCACACACACGGTACACAGATACATAAGCAGGCAAATCAGCCATATACACAAAATAAAAATAATCTTAAACAAGACAGCAACTGTCTAATATGAGAACACTTGCAATTAAAATAATTTAAGAAAGTGCTGCTTTTGATAAGCATGGAAGACACAACACCAAGTCTTTCATTTACCATTTTCTTCACACAGCACACTCTAGCTAAACAAATCTTTTTTTCTTACCTGTGAATTTGGCTGGAATGCAGCATGGGGTGTTGAGTGTTTCTGTAAATTTTCTAGCATTAGAGCCTGGTATAAAAAAGAGCAAAAATCAAAAACCAGGAGGGGTAATCAAAAAGCAACCCATCTCTACCTCTCCCACAGCCTTTTCATTAAATTAAATGACTTAAATATACATTTATACCATATTCCTTTCATGGAGCATAAAAGCCCTTTACTTATACTGTCCTCATTCATCTTCATGAGACCCTTAATGGTAACCATGGTTACTGCTTCCAAATATACAGATGTGAAATATAGGCACACAAAGAATCAGTGACCTGGCTATGTCACAAAAACCAGCAAAAGTGACAGACTCGGTACCAGAATCCCTATTATTGTCTGCAGTTTTGATGAGGAGTCACTCTCAAATCTGGTAATGGGGGCGGGGGTGGGGGAACCACTCCACTCAAACAAGCTTTAAATTACATGAAACCGTGAGGTTGCTGATTAGGATCTGACTATTACTTGGTTAGTTATTCAGAACTGAAACTTAAGTGAACGGGCACAATTTCCAGCAGAGTGACATCCAGACTAATCAAATTATTAAAATTTCAAAGAGAAAATGACCATAGACCTTGTAATCTGTGGTTTGACTTAATCCACACCCACCCACAAACTGTCAGCTTCGGGATAAGCAACGGTCTGTCAACTCAAACCCTGAACTAACCTAGTCCCAATTCGCACTATCAGCCACCTACCCTAATGAACTCTAATTACACTGGTCCATCTCACCTTCCCTCCATTTACATCAAACCGATACACAATATGTATACCTCAGGACAGGCCCATTCTCATCTACTCGAATTGATAACGAAATCCCCGGCCTAAAGTGATCTGTCTCACCTCTCACACTATAATATTCACCAAATTCTTATCCAGACTGCTTCTCGATTCCCTACGAATTAGACACCCGTCTTTCACCAAGTCCTTCTATCAAGGTTCCCCTTCATCTAATCAAGCGGACATTTTTACCCTACCCCAAATGTATTATTGCAGCCAGAGACACCAACCCTATCCGCCCAACTGTACCCCTAACTCGGACCCTGCCCTACTCGCCCCCTTAAGGCCAGCCACACCGGTGGTTGTAGAGGGATTTAACTCCTTCTGCAGCGCATGCGCCGAAAACACAGACACAAACAAGGAGGGGGTGGGGGAAGAAGGAAGGAGCTTAAGACACTCCAGGAGAGTAGCGCGCACCCTCCCATTTTGTGCTCGCGCCGCTGCCGTTAAGGCGGGAACCGGCGTTATCTCTGTTCCAGCGCAAGCCACACCAACCACCGTGCGCGTGGATCTTCAGGCTCGCGCTGGCGGCCTGAGAGCTCGCGCCGAGCCCGGACACTGCGCCTGCGCCGCGGCGGAGACTCGTCTCTACCGGGTCCGCTCCCCTCCGACACCTCGGCAACGCTGACTTCTCACCCCTTTGAGCCGCTTGACCAGGGCACTCTTCTGCCCGCTCTTGGCTAGGCCTCGCTGCTCCAGTGCGGCCTTCAGGTCGGTCACCCGCAGAGCCTGAAGAGGCTTCCCGTCCAGAGTCACCTCCTCCAGCTCCGCCATCTTGCGTGAGGTACTCGGGTCCGTCCCGACGGCTTCGGGCATCTTCGGTAATTTCCGCTAACGCCCTTCGAACGTACCGAATTGGCCCCGCCCACTGCCATAGTCTACCCCTCTATTACTGCTCAGAATTCCCCGGGCTCCTCCGGAACTGTTCGGCCGTTTCCGCCTTCACATCGGTACCAATCAGCTCTTTCTATTTGCCCAGCCAACCCCCCCCTCCCTATTTGCGTTAAGGATCGTTTGTTTTCGTCTTGCCGAGGCTTTGAATCGAATCTATTCGGAAGCCCTCGAATCATGCATAACCATAATCGGAGATATTCGGTTGTCTTCGGACCTGGGCCTGCGGGCGCTGGGGCACTTGGGTGTTTGGGGCTGTTTTGAGACCGGAAGTACGTGGGTTACTGGGCTGGCTCTGCTTAGGGTTTTCAGGAAACCTGGAAGAGACTAAGGGAGTTGGAGCTGGAGCTGAAGCACTTATGTGATCTCTGGGCGCTCTTTGAGAGAAAAGGGGAGGTAACAGGTAAAGAAGTCCTTCCTTGTCCTGATAATATTTGGTGTCTGCAGGTTTCCTTTTGGGAAACTCACCTGCTCCCGTGGCGAAATCTCTGTGGTCCCTCATCCTCTACGTCCTGGCCTCTCGGTCTAAGGAATACTTGGGGGCTTAAGACTCTTGCGGCTTCCAAACGTGAGAAAAAGTAGCGTTGTGTCTTTGATCCCAGGCAGTAAATTTATTAATGACGCTGAATTAAGTTTACCGTTGAAGCCATGGAAAAACAATTCCCTTTCCCTGAAAAAGAAAAGTTTTAGGAGGTTAGGATTCCCTGGAGGGTCACTTTGAAAATGGCAGTCACCCTAAACCGGGATTTGAACTGATCTTTAGGGATTCCTTTCCTTGCTGATACATATCTTCCAACTTGGAGCAAAAGGAACAGAAGTAGTAATTTAGGTCATAGAGGGTTGAAGGTTTTCATTGTTAGAGATACAAACTGTAGGATCCAAACTGTAGGATGCCTGACACTTGATGCATGATGCAAAATCAATGGCACTTATAGGTATAAACCAGTAAGGAAAACTGTTCAGAGACACAAATGCATCTTATCACACTTTTTAGGCTGCCTAAGTCAAGAAAGCAAAGGGAATTTTTTCAGAACCTTGGAAGTGTGACTCCTGATTTTTTTTAACCATTACTTTTTATTTTAGGCAAGACCTTTACTTACCCTACTCGGAAGTTTATTGGTGCTGAACAGATAAAAATTCTTGACAGATTTCAGAAGCTGTGTATATATTGCATAGAAGGCTCTTGGATCATGTATACTTACCCCACACTGATGATAGCTATGGAGCGATTAGCATTTGGGCTGGTACCACTTGCTTTGATTTTAGAGAAGATAAATATGTACCTAACCTGAAACAGAAGTAGGAGAGGTAGAACAAACATTTTTTGTTTGTTTGGTTTGGTTTTGGTTTTTCAAAACAGGTTTTTTCTGTGTAGCCCTCTGTAGTTCAGGCTGGCTTGGAATTTGGCTTGCCTGCGCCTTCCAAGTGCTGGGATTAAGACGATCCACCACCACCACCCAACTTGCTTTTTTTTTTTATTTTTAATTGTGTATCTGTGTGTCTGTCTGTGGAGCAGGAAGTACATTTAAATGCTGAGCAATCTTCTCCCTAGCCCCTCAATTGGTTGTTTTTAGGGCTCTTTATAGGGGTGGCTGGGTATATAGCTCAGCTGGTAGAGTGCTCTTTTAGCATGCTTGAAGTCCTGGGTTCTATCCCTAGCACCACAGATATGGTGTGGTGGCACATTACAGTTCAAAGCCATCCTTAGCTACATGTCCAGCTACATGAAAGTTGGAGTGTGGGAAGAGAAGCTGTGGGTGGATGTGTTGACATGCCTGTAATCTTTAACACCAACACTTGAAAGGCTGAGTGAGGTAAGATCTTGAATTTGAGGCCAGCAAGAATTTTTTCTAAGACTTGAGGTAACCTGAGAATGATTACTTTTCTCTTGATCCAGAAACCTCTGCCTCCAAATCATCCAAACCAAGCGGTTCAGGTGTCTGTGTCTGAAATTGCCTTGGCCATCAAGGCTTTATGTACCTAAAGAGCCGCCAAGTTATCTGAAAGCTGTCCCTTTAAAGAAACAGTATAACAGTAGAGTTGACAAGTGTGCTGAGGACGAACAGTAGGGCTAAATACATGATTGGTGGTCCTGGAAGAGTGCTGAAGTTTTCCTACACATGCTTGGAAATGCGGGACTTACCGGATTCTTTGGTCCTGGACAATTTTCAGAGCAATGCACCCACAGTGCAGTCAGATGAACCTGTGTGAGCTTACTTGTCACACTGAAAAGATCTTCACTGAAAAGGAACTCTTCCTAAGCCAGAAGAGGAGGTTACAAAGAACAGAAACGTCTGCAAGTGAGAGACACTGGTTGGATAGGTTGTGTGTGTTTTTATTATTATTATTATTTTTTTTTTTTTGACCCAGAGTCTTGTGTAGTTTAGGCTGGCCTGGAACTCCCATGTAACCCATCATCTAAGTCAGGGTCTTCCTGCCTGCGCTATTGTGCCATGTGTGTCTGTCACCATACCTGGCATGTGTTTTGTTTTTTTTGTTGTTGTTTTGAGATAGGGCCTCTGTAGGTTAAACTGGCCCGGAACTCACTGTGTACCTGTGTAGTTCCAGCTGGCTTTTAGTTCTTGGCAGTCCCCCCCCCCCCATCTCAGCTTTCCAAGTGCTGGGGTTCTAGGTGTGAGCCACCACACCGGCTTAGGTCAGTGGCATTGAAAAGGAAAGAAGACTGGCAAATACCAAGTGAAATTATTCTTGGGTGACTTCTCTAAGGTAATTGTATAAACATAAAAATAAAGGCTCTTGTTACATGTGGTATGGCTGTGTGCACTTGTAACCCCGTATGCAAGAAGCTGAGGCAGGAGGACCAAATCCCTGGCCAGTCTGGGACTACACATATATGGTGAATTCCTGCCATAAGAAAGGGTCCTGTTCATTTCCCTCTAGATTGAATTGGTGGATATGAATTGTTGCTTAGGAGGTCATGTTTAGGTTGCTCTCTGCCAAAGAGTGTAGTAACAGTTTTTTTTTTGTTATTTTTCAGGATGCCACTGGAATCATCGTCTTCATCAATGCCACCGTCCATCCCTTCTGTGTTGCCTTCAGTGCCACATGATATTGCCAGCTCTTCCCCTCCTCCAATGTCTTACATCACTTCCCAGGAGATGAAGTGTATTCTTCACTGGTTTGCCAGTTGGTCGGGTCCCCAGCGGGAACGTTTTCTACAAGACCTGGTAGCTAAGGCAGTGCCTGGAAAGCTACAGCCACTGCTGGATGGTCTGGAGCAGCTCAGTGTATCTGGGGCAAACCGACCACCCTGTATCTTCGAGTGTCAGCTACGTCTTTGGGATCAGTGGTTTCGAGGTTGGGCTGAGCAGGAGCGCAATGAATTTGTCAGACAGCTGGAGGTCAGTGAGCCAGATTTTGTGGCAAAGTTTTACCAAGCAGTGGCCGCCACTGCTGGTAAAGACTGATAGGCCTTCAGATCAAGAATATAACTACATGTGATCAAGCCAAAGACCTTGACTGTAGTGAAGATTCCGTGCAAGAGTGTCACTTAAAGATTTGCCTGAACTGCAGGGGTAGTGGTGCACCTTTTCCCCCAGCACCAAGAACAGAGGCAACCTGGTCTACATATTAAGTTCTGGGCCAGACAGTGCTACAGAGTATGACCCTGCCCTAAAAGAATTGCTTGAACTTGATGAGTGCCAGCACTATTCTTAACCTTGCAATATGTTACCTGGACTCTGTAAACGTGATCCATTTAAACAAATCTGATTTTGTCACACACCTGCTTTATTTACAGGAGATGTGTAGCAGCATGTTGTCTTGCCAGTGAATTTGTGTTAGTGGCCATACCCCTTTGGGCTTGGCTTCAGGTGCAGACTTGACCAGAAGGTAGAAAAGTGCGGGATGGGCTTCTCTTTCTCTTGGGTGGCAGATCACATCAAAAGGGCAGAGACAGAATCTTCTGGAGCAGGAACGTCTCTACAGTTCTTTACTATTATCTGTGTAAGTTGTTCCCCAATAAAACACCCATTTATCATTTATCTTGGGTCTAGTGAGCTCATTAATACCATGCCTTCAATTGGCACCAAATGTGGGGCACCATTTTGTTGTTGGTGTTTTTCTTTCCAGCCTGGTCCCACAGTGACTTCAGCACCAAATGAAAACACAGAGATGCTATAATAATTATTAAAATGTTGGTTGATGGCTAGGGCTTCTTATTGGCTAGTTCTGTCTTAATTATTAACCCTTAACTACTAATCTATGTATTTCAACATGGCTTTATCTTATAAGAGAAAGCCTGGCACTCTTACCCTCCTGGTCTCTACGTGGCAGCTCCTTATGGTCTCTCTCTGCCTGTCTTTCCCAGAATTATCCTCATCTCCTAGTCCCAACTTCTTTCTGCCTCTATTGTCCAAACAGTGTTTTACTCAACAGCCAATAAGAGAAACATATATACAGAAAGACATCCCCCACCACCAGACACCTGCTTTATTTACAGAAGATGTCTAAATCTCAAGAATTTAATGACGTCTGTTGTTATAACTAAAAAGAACTCATGTCTTATATATAACTCAAGGCTACTGCTGGCCCAGATGGCTGGTTTTTTACCACATTTACCCAACTCTAACATAAAATGTGATGTCTCAACCGTTGGAATTCCCAGTGGCGATTTAATAAATTAAGGAAAAAAAGAGAAGGAAATAATTGCTTGATACTTCACATTGTTTGACTCCAAAGAACAATGAAAGTTAGATAATATCAAAAAGCAGTGACCTTTTCTAAAACATGTGTGATGCCCTTGGAGCTGGTAGTATATGTTCCTGTTCTGCCATTGGTTTACAACAGTCTGAAAATAAATGATGCTTCACAAATTAAACTGTTGATTTGGGGGAGGGTATTAAAATAAAGAATAGTTCTTCACTATAAGACTCCACATTTTGTATATGGTCAAACTATTGAAAAGTAAATATCCTGGCAAAGAGGCATTCTGAAGAAAATAGAGCAGGATTTACAATAAGTAGATTTTCCCATCCAGTGGTCTTTATTTTTATGTGTATGTGTGAGAGCCTGCAAGTATGTATGTGTATGTACCACGTGTATGCCAGTGCTCAGCGAGGTCAGGGTGGTGGATGCCCTGGAACTAGAGTTAAAGAAGGATGCAAGTGCTTTGATTTGAGCCTTGGTCTTTTACAAAAGCAATAAGTACTCTTGTTTAAAATTTTTTAAAAAATTTAAGCCAGATGTGGTAACGCATGCCTTTAATCCCAGCACTCAGGAGACAGGCAGATCTCTGAGTTCAAAATCAGTCTGGTCTACAGAGTAACTTCCAGGATACCCAGAACTACACAGAGAAATCCTGTCTTGAAAAACCAAAAAGCAAAGGGAGGGGGTGGGGGTGGCTCAGCAGTCAACTACATGGTGGCTTATAACCATCTCTAATGGGATCTGATGCTCTCTTCTAGCATGCAGGCATACAGATAAGCACTCATACACATAAATAATTTTTTGAAAAGTTAAGCAATTCTGTACTCATAAGTCACAATGTACATACAGAAGTAGAGACAACTTGTAGGAGTGGGTTTTCTCTGTCCATTTTGTGGCTCCTTAGGAATCAAACTTGGGTAAATGACTTTACCTATTGAGCCATCTTGCTGGCTGGCTGGCATCACACCTGTCTTATTTTAAACTGATCTCCTGTGCTATACATGTATCTCTCATGATAGTTAAGTAGTAGATGGTCCCACTTGGAGTATAGCCCGTTTCTGGTAAGCCAAAGTTCCCAATGTGCCCATCAGGATTAGCAATAGTAGGCAGAATCCTATGGACAGAAGTCGGTCAGTCATAGAGAGGTTATGGTCCATGGAAGTCAGCAACCTAGAACATGAAAGGCGCTGTTTGTCCTGCAGTAGTGCTCAGCCATTACAGAATGGAAACATATTTGAATCAAGCACTAGGGCAGACAAACCAGCTAAAGCCAATGTTAAACCCAAAACATGGGGATGAAATTAAGGCCCAAGACTCCAGCAGCTTCAAGTACAGAAAGGAGACACAAGGTAGTGGCAACTAGTTTGTGGGAAGACAGTTTTGGTAGATCTATGAACACTGCTTAAGGGGTGTGATGGCACACATTTACCATATGACCCCAGTTTCCTAAGGCAGGAGGATCATCCTCAGCTATATAATAAGTTTGAGGTCAGCCTGAAGCTAAATGAGACCTTGTCTCAAAATCAAAAAACACCAAACACAAATAAAAAACCTCTACAACAGGGGAAGCGAAGCAGATGGATCTGTTGCATTCAAGGCCACCCTGGTCTACAAAGGAAGGTATAGGTCAGCCAGGGCTACACAGTGAAACCCCTGTCTCACCTTCCCTACCCCCTTCCTGTCCTGCTCCCCAAAGCAACAACAAAATAATTGAGATCCCTAAGTTCTAGGATGGGACTCTATTTTTTGTTTGTTTTGCTTTTTCCAGACAGGGTTTCTCTTTTTAACCTCCCTGGCTGTCCCAGAACTCACTTTGTATACTAGATTGGCCTCTAACTCACAGAGATCCTCCTGCCTCTTCCCAGTACTGGGGTTAAAAGCATTCGCCACCACCACCTGTCAAAATCATATTTGTTAAGCCTGCATTTATGTGTACCTTTTTTTAGACAAGGTTATGTCAGTGAAAAGATGCGCAATCACATTGAGCCCATCAAACAGTAATGGGGGCAGGGTTGGTGGTGGCAGTGTGCTCACCTTTAATCCCAGTACTTGTGAGGCAGAGGTAGGCAAATCTCTGAGTTTGAGGCCAGCCTGGTCTACAGAGTGAGTTCCAGGACAACTAGGGCTGTTACACAGAAAAACCTGTCTCAAAAACAAACAAAAAATGATTTCCAGTGCTGGAGAAAAGGCTCAGAGATTAAGAGCAATAACTATGCTTCCAGAAGTCTTGAGTTCAATTCCCAGCAACCACGTGGTGGCTCACAACTACTTATAGTGGGATCTGATTGACCTCTTCTGGCATAAAATGCACATGCAGATAAAGCACTTACATACATAAAAATAAATAAGTAAATCTTAAAAAACAAAACATGAAGTCAAATGTCTGACAAGCAGGGTGCAAAGGTTACTACTGGGGACATGATCTTACTTGCTGTATTCAGTGGTAAAGATGGCTTTTCCATGGTGTACTTGGAGAGGTTTCTCTTGAAAAGTCAGAGTCAGGGTCTGGTACAGTGTAGCAACAGAAGGCCCTTGGCAGCCTGGAGACTTCCACATACTCACAGTGAACACCAAATTTGTGGTGATGGATGGGCTGTGGAAATAGCACCTGAACAAAAAGTGAGATCTCTTAACAGAGGAGGAGTAAGTTGCAGGGTGAGATGAGCAGAGTGCAGAGGAGAGACTGAGCATTCTCTATGGCCCATTGTCTACACAAGTAGGACTGTCCCCTTTACCTGCTCGCGCCACCTCTTGTCACCAGGGCCTGCAGAACTAGCTCAGCCAGCTCTTGTCTCCCTTCTTTCCCCAGAGAGTGGCCTGGGGTCCCAGTTAATCCTAAAGAAAACTGAAATAGCAGGTCTTGGGTTGAAAAACTCATTGGTGGAGAAGAGACAGTACTGGTAGCTTTGTTACTCAGACACAGCCGGCCTTGGGGACAGTAGAGAAGACCATAGTATCCGGGTATCTACAAGAAAATAGCACGGAATAAGCTACAGCTTCAATTACTTGTTTAGGACTGTCTTCTAAGGAAAATGGCACATTCTAGACCACAGGCACAGGAGATATTTAAGGGGGAAAAAAAGGGTGGTGACGGAGAATGAAATTCAGTGAATGCAATACCCCAGATTTGAGCCCCAGCATGCTAAGTGAATACATAAATAAAATAAAAATTCAAAATTTCAAAAAACAAGCTGAACATTAGGCTTGGTGGTTCATGTCTGTAATCCTGGTATATGAAAGACTGAGGCAGAGGACTGTCACAAGTTTGAGGTTAGCCTGGGTTCTGTAGCTAGTTCTGGGCCAGCCTGGACTACAGAGTAAGACTTAAGAAGCTGGACAGTAATACCAGTCAAACATTTCCCAATTTTTCTGCCTGTATGCTCTGACTACTCTTAAAATTCTCACCTGAGCCAGGTGGTAGTAGCTGGATTTCCAGGATGGAAACCCAGTCTTGCAAAAACAAGCAAACAAAAAGAAAAGGAAATTAAAAAAAAAAAAAATCTCACCTGAACAGCCTTTCCTGGAGGGCAAGGGACCCACGGTGAACCCTCCACTTGTACCTCGTATGCTCCTTTGTGTGTGCATTGATGTAAATAGCAACGTCCTGTGGGAGTTTCCGAGGGCTGGCTGACCTTGTCTTTGGAGAACACTTGGGAGGTAAGGTTGGCAAGGAAGCAACGGCTTTGCAGATGGTAGATCTCCCCATAGGGGTTCCCTGCTCTGAGGAGTCCATTTTCCTCCTTCCAGCACTCACTCTAAGGTGTAGGGAAAATGGTAGAATAGTGTGATACCACAGAGGTGGACTCCTCCTGGGCTTGCTCTTGCTCTTTTGTAGTCCACTCACCCCACTGGCTAAGGGTTTGTACATGCGGCAGCCTTCTAGCCTTGGGTCTGAGGAGCAGCTTCCCTTGTCCAGGTGCAGGTAGTGGCAGCCCAGCCCACTGTGTGGCAGGGATAGTAGAGAGATGACCCTGGGATCACTAATAGTTGTACAGTCCCCTGCCCACTCAACACATACCTGTGGGTGCAGAAGAAGTCTGAGGATCCATTCCTACATGTGCTCACAAGGCCAAATTCTGGGCCAGAGCCTGCTTGTGCCATAAGAAAAGAAAGCAGTCAAGATAAAACCTCAGGCTGGGCATAGTGGTGTACGACTTTGATCCTAGCACTTGGGGGTAAGAACCAGGAGGATCTCTGAGTTCGAGGCCAGCCTGATCTACAGAGTGAGTTCCAGGACAGCCAGGGATACATAGCCAGGCCCTGTCTTGGGGGAAAAAAGATGAAAGCACAGACATCCCTCAGTACCAGCTCTGCTTACAGTTTGAATCACACCTTA